GGCAAACAATCATGAAAATGAATTGTTGAAAACTGGTGTTCATGGAGTGTATACTGACCAAGTAAGACTGAATATCACTGGCATGGCAATGATGATATGTTTAAACCCTGACCTATAGGTTTTCTGTTAAATTATGACCTCCCCATGATTTTATTTTGTGTTATTAATTCCCCATGAAACAAGTGAAAATTGACAAAAAATATCATTCTTTCGGAGGTACAAATTTAAGTAATGTTCAAATTACAAATTACCAGTGAACTTTCAAAATATATGCCCACCAAAATTTTTACTGGTCCCCATAAAAAATAAAATAAATACAATAATTGTTTTTTACATGTTTTACACTTTTAGTTTATTTTCATTTTTAAGTTGAAGAAGTGTTTAGTGTTAATAAAACAGTTATACCATGTTATAATAGGGTTATACTCATACCTGCTCCTGACTTTATTAACTTTTATTTTTTTACAGAGATTTGAGGTTTTAAAATCAGAGACGCAGGATACCCCCAGTTTTTACTCCACACTCTTGGGAAAGGGCACATTTGGGGTGGCCATTAAGTGCATTGTGTCAGATGACTTTGTGTTTGTTAAAAAGAAGGTTAGTACATTTCCAAAATATTCTGTTATTCTTAAAAAAAAAACAAAAAAATGTTGTATGTTAATATATCTTGGTAAAAATCTTTTAATTTAAAAAATCAACCAAGAAAGCAAGCTTGTTTACAGTTTCTACAGAAATTGGAAGAAAAGAGAAGTAGTTCCGGCACATTTTTGTCTTGTAGGTGACACAGAAGTTTCATCCAGAGGAGGCAATGTTTACACTTAGTAACACACATCCAAACATCATTAAGTCCTATGCACTGGTGCTGAGGCATGGAACCCCAGAAATCATTATGGAATATGCTGGTAGGTTATTGTGTTATCCAGTACATGTTTTCACAAAATTCAAAGATATCATTAGGGCCATGTTGTTGATTTGTAGTTTAATTGCACAGTGACAGTTGTGGAATAAAATTTATTGACATTTAATGAAACGATTGTAATTTATGCAACAGACAGGCAATATAGTCAGTTCCCAGTAAAAAATAAAAACTGTATCTCTCTGTAAAAAGTGAATTTTAGACTGTAGGTCATTCACACAGACAATAAAGTCCGTACCCAGTATAAATCTGTCTCTTTGTAAACCATGAGTTTTTTTTATTGTAGGTCAGTCCCTGTTGAGCCTGGTCAATGAGAAGAAGAGCCTCCCTGAAGCCACTATCTGGTCCTTGACCTGGGAGTTCTGTAATGGCCTGTCTTATCTGGACTCCAAAAATGTCATTCACTTCGATATCAAGCGTAAGTATGCTGCCTCAGTATAACATTTGTCTGTTCCAGTATACTTCCGTGTTAAGATTTATACATTGATACATTAGTATGCATATTGTAGTAATATTAAATCAAGTTATTTTACATATGCAATTATTATTCTATTAATAGAATGTAAACAATATGCTCTTCTGAATATTTTCTCATTTCTTTTATTTGCAGTTATACATGTGTATTAAGAATGCATAGAAAATTTTCAGAAATGTACATGTATTATTCAATGTAAATTTTACTTTTCAGCTGAAAATATTTTTGTGATGGAGGATGGAGAAGGGAGTTATCTTCTGAAGATTGGTGACTTTGGCTCTGCCAGAATGCCCGGGGGCCCCATAGAAATGACAGCCTGGACGCCTGAATACCTGGCCCCAGAGATGGCTAAGCTCTTCCTCAGAAAGAACTTCCCCCCTCATGTACTGAGAATTAAACAGACAGAACAGGAAATAGAGGCCAGTCTCCAGCCGAAGACAGACATGTTTCCTGCGGGTCTCGTGGTGGGCTTTATGTACGTCGGGGAGCACCTTCTCCTGCAGTACATCAGGCGAGCTAAGCCAGAGGTTACAGACGAAAAACAGCAACGATTGGCTGTCATTGGACATGTAAGTATAGATAGCTAAATATAGATACAAGTCTTCAATAAACCTAGAAATATCTACAGACTGAAACAATATATTTTGTAAAGCGATTCTTATATAAACTATAATCTAAAAATTGAAGCATTTTTTGTGTGACATATATCTTGTGTGTTGTACAGGTGTCCCATGAGACAGAGTTGGGGGTAAATCTGATTCCAGAAGGTGCTGGACTAGAGATGAAGGCCGTCTTGCAGGCAATGCTGCAGTATGATGTGAATAAGCGTGTCTCTGCCCAAAAAACACTTGAACTCATGAAAAGTAAGCAAACAGGCCACAAGGCCATAAACTGAGAACAGACTTTATTCATTTTAAAAAAAATTGAGAGAAAAATCTGTCTTAGGCAGTAGAAAGGGGGTGGGGTTAAAGAATACATTTTACAAGTATTCCTTATTTATGAAAAAAAATTCTTGAATTTAAGAACTTTCTGAAATCAATTTAAAAGAGACATTAAAAGAAAACTCGAATTACATTTAACATATGCTTTTTTTATGTAGCCCTCTCAGCTCAGAAGGGAAATAAAGACAAAAGTCCAATGATGACAGGAATAAAACCACAAGTACTTAAAATTCCTGTCAGCTCGGAAGGGATAAACAGTAAAGAAAAGAGAATACTGCCTGTCAAATCCAAGGCAAGAAACAGGAGGTCAAGGTCAAAGAAGGAAGCAGAACCCGTGGCTTCACAGGTAAAGAATCTTAATGATGAAGACTTTAATTGGGGAAATTTAATTTTGAAAAGAATAGAATAGATATTAAGCGCATTCATTTCAAAGAAAACAGACAGCAAAGATAGCATTGTTGATCACTGATATAGTTGTTCTCAATGGATTTTCTACCATATTTAACATCCTGTAGTCAAATCCTATAGAAGATTTTTTTCCAGCAAAGTGGCAAGTTCTACAGAAATTAATAATGCATAAAATTCAAATTAATTAGCTTTTCTTTTCACAAAGTTTTCATCTGAAGAAATTATCTATTAATCAGTGTTATCTGTTTATGTTAATAAATAAAAAAAAGTTCAATCTTTTCACAGATGCCAAAAATGTCAATGAAGGCAGAGGAAATCATGAGTGAAAACCAGCAACTCCGGAAACGCATCGTTAGAAGTGAACTGAAGAGAAAGTTGCAAACCCGCCCAACCACAGCCGTGGCGGCAAAAGTCGTGAGAACTGCTGAGGCAAAGGAAGACGTCATGGAAAATAGCCAGGGAGGGGCCAGCGATGGGGGATTCAGTGAGCAGTTTGTCCCCCTGGAGCACCCCTTCCCAGAGATCCAGATCAGTGAGCACCAACACCCCGTCTGTCAGGCCGAAGATGATTGGTCAATTCAGGAGTCCGCCGCACCTGGCAATATGCCAGACTTTGGATGTCTTGGGATTGATGATTAAACTGACAGAATTTTTTTGTATTGACTTATTTATTTATTATTAAAAAATGTTTTGTAAAGTAGTATGAATTGAATCTCTTGAAATTTTTTATGTGTTTTTGTATTTTCTAAATGTATTGTCTTTTGTTGTTTAATACATTTTTAATATAAAAATGATAAGTCTACATGGTTTAAAACATTTGTTAGCATGAAATAACAGATCTCTTAGAGATATTTATCAGAAAATGTTCAGAATTGTATTTTGTCTTCTAACCTTATTCAGATATATGCATTTAATTGACTCAAGGATGCCTGACACAAACAAAATTTTGATGCAGGCATTAATATGTATTTTTTGACTGATTTTGAATAGTCTGTAAATTATTAAGAAATTGTATGTAAAGCTTTATTTAATGCTTAGATATGCAACATTGTGTCTTTTTCTATGTTAAATTTTGTGACAAAAATATATGAATTTTACTTAATAATCAGATTTATCATTTACCACATTTTTAGAATGGTTGCTTTGTATTGAAAACTGTGTTTTCCAATGAGTTTGCCAATCGTTTAAAAAAATAATCTTTTCCTTTGTATTAATTATTAGAGCATGGAATGAAACGTACGTGTATCTTTAAATTTTCTGTGAACAGAATTATTTAGACAAAAAGTATTTGTAATCTTTCGTATGGAGATATATTGGATGAAACTTAAGTTTTATGTCAGAATCATTTTATATTATATGCACTTTTATAATTTAAATCGTTTTATCTGTGTCATGTTCTCAATAAAAAAAGAAAACGAATTTGTAAATTTTTATAAGTATTATTTAATGATTAAATTTCAGTCAGGTGAATTATTTGGAGGCTTATGGCAAAAATTAAAGTTTCTCAAATACCAGTCAAGATCAATGCCTATAACAATACAATTTGCGTTACCCCAGGAAAGAACTTGTCTTAATCAATATATCTGTGAAATATAAAATCTTCAGAGCGTGCATGTACTAACCACTCAAATGTTATAGCCAAGGTTAAAATTTTTAAAAAGTGGGTCAAACTCCAAGGTCAATATGGAGACTCCACCACTTGCCTGCCGAGTCTTGCAAATCTTAGACCTATACTTGGCACCCATTGAGCAGTGAGGGGTCTTATTTGTGTCAGTACCTACTACTGAGAAAGACACTGGACCTCGATTTAAACTCTCTCATCCTAACGAAACCCTCAACTCCTGCAGCTGAATTCGAACCAGGAGTGAAATGGTACAGTGGCCACTGGAGAGAAATAACCAACAAGAGAGAGGGTTTTAAGAGTTATGACCTGACATGAAATTGAGAAAGGAGTAGGTTCGAATTCATTCTTCATGGGAATTGTTTTTGCGAGTTAGAATTTTTATCTGATTAAGATTTTTTTTCTTGGATGTCAATGATTATACTAGTACATACATGTTGTAAACGCATGTAATCCAAAAATTTCAAGTCATTATTTTAAGCGTTTATTGGCCTAGGAGCTCGGTAGATAAAGCTATTTTTAAAGCTGTTATTGAAATATCGAGGCTTTTGCTAAGGTCTTATTTCAGGACGCGGGAAAATGAACAGTTTTTTATCTCTCGTGATACGACCTTGGCCAAAATGGTTCTATGTGCACATGTATATAAAAGTAAGGAATTGTCAGAATTCACCTTTTCATTGTCTTTAGTTTGATACGAGGAGAATTGTAATTATGAGAACTTTATTGATAACATGTGCCTTGGTGGCGTCTGTGTCCGCAGCGTGTATTCCTGGCGGATATTGTCCAGTTACTGATCCCAGTTCTAACGCCGACGTACAAGAAATGGCCCAGTTTGCTCTGACTGCGTATGCAGCCAAATCACACGACGTCTCGGCATGTGATGGAACTTTCTCAGTCAAACATGCTAGTAGACAGGTAAAAGCTATTCCATTGTGCCGTGTGGTCATATTTTCCAAATTACGTGTTTTTCAAACTATTTTGGTGATGGTGATGTTAAAAGACGTTTCTAAAAAAGTTTAAATAATAATTAAAAACTAATTATCATGAGGATATCTTATCAGAGGTTAAGTACGTATGGCCACAAATTCACGTGGTCAGTGGATGTACTTTTAGTAAATCTAAATAAGTGTTGCACACGTACATCTTAATTAATTACCATTAAACTTATTAACTAAAAATTTCTTGGCCATATTCTCTTTAGAAAGGAAAAAATACTAGATTTTCAACCTCAAACGTAAAGTTATTGAAAACCGGAAAAGATCTACGCGTCATTATTCTAATGTGTCCACTGTCTATGATTATTGTGTTGCTTTTTTTAGTGTAGTGTCAACCATTATTGTTGCCTTTTCATTGTAATGTATGAAGACAAAACCAAAACGTACTTAAACCCTTAATCCCGCCTGCATTTCAATACCACTGTAGAAGAGTAAAGACTGATATTTCTAACTAGTATTTATCGCTCAGTATAAGTACACACATTAGAAATTGATTATATTGCACTTTTACAATTTTTGTGTGAATATTTACAGACAGTTGCGGGTTTTAACTACAGAATGACTGTGGAAGCCACCTGTGATGGACAAGTAAGTACAGTGTACCATCATGTTTTCTGAAGCAATGAAATCTCACACAGCCTTCTCATTTCCACAAAAATTCTTTTGAGATCCCATGGCAATTTTGCAGAAAACCGTGTGCGAGTTTACTGTGTTTGACCAGTCCTGGACCAAAACAAGGGAACTGACCTATGACCACTGTACTACTAGTCATAAGCGGGCAGCACTGGCCGGAGGCTTATCTCACGCGGACACCAGTAGCGACCAGTTCCAGGACGCCATGGAATATGCAGCGTCCCAAGTCGACATGCAGAGAAATAGCATGTACAAAACAACTCCTGTTCACTACAGCCATTGCTTCCAGCAGGTCAGTTCAAACTAAAAACTAGGTGTTTTAACCTTTCTCAAAACAATTAAGTTGATTGGGCTATGGCTTTTATATTTCATAGGTGTACTATTCCTTATGACAAGACCTATTTTTGAGTACCACACCACTAAATGTCCTCTTTACTTTGACCTTTGAGGTTTACCTTTTACAAAAAAAAAAATCCCAAATTTTTACATTGGCCATAACTGTTGAACTGTTGGTGCTAGAACGGTCATGAATACTTCACATGCATATTTATTGTGACAAGACTTCTCAGTGGGTATAAATATTTTTGAACTTGACCTTAGAGATTGACCTATTTTAAAAATCATATTTTACAGATGTATTTATTGTGAAAAGAACTTCCTTTGGGTACCAACAATTTTGACCTTTTGACCTTGACCTTATGAGTTTGAACTGCATTTGAAAAACTTCAAGCCTCACCGTAAGCTACCTGCATACAGGGGCATCAATGTTTCACAAACGCACATCTTATTAAGAAGGTTTCAGTGTTTTTAAGCCCCTTTTGTCATTTGATAAATTTGTACTAGTTAAACTACCTTTTTAAATACAGAAAAACATAATGTATTCTGTTGATTTGACTTTACTTCGCATGTAAATGAAAAGTGAAGATAGCGAGTAATGGTCGATTTAAAACAAATCAACGACCAATACTAATCTGTAGACATATAAATGGAGCCCTTGAAATATCAGAGGTTGGATCTGGTGCTGAGGAGGAGAAAGCTTTCCCTGTTGACCGGTCTAACCTCTGCCAGTCCTGGGTATTGATCAATTTGTCGAGCACTCATAATCTTGTAAACATTTTTCTTATAAGAAAGTAGTAATACTGATATAATTTGTACAATATGTATTAAAAAGAAATATACAATAAGATTTTTGATTTTCAATTAAGTGTACCAAGCTCCAACAGTAGCTTTAATTGCCGTACACGTTCGTTTGATATTTTTTGTATTGGTTTAGGTTGTAGCTGGTATAAGATATGTTTGTGATGTTACCCTCACCGAGAACTCGTGTTTGAAAGGAGACACGAGAGATCTTTCTCTATGTGCAGTAAAAAGCAATGGGGAAGTGAGTATCATTATAATCAATGTTTATATTCCTTTGTTTTAGCTTTGTTAATACCATACAATTTAAAAAAAAAGATATTAGAAATTTTAAGGAGATTATTTCTTGATGTATTTGATTTCTTTTCATACAATATACATTATTTATTGATGTACACATTTGTTCTAGATGTTTTTTAAAACATGTAACAAAACGAGTCAATTTTTAAACACTGTGACGATAAATTTCAAATCAACATAAGAACAGATTAATTTCGATTGCCTCTTAATTAAAACTCTAAAGAATATGTTTCCCTTTTGAGAATCATTGAAAATTGAAAAAACTTAATTAAATGCAGGCTTAAATATCTCAATTTTGATTTTATGCCTATGTTCATTATAATAATTAAATGACATCAATGTTGTCTGTGTCTTTCAGTCCACCACCTGGCACGTGGATATCGTGTCTCAGCCCTGGATGTCTAACAAGTACACAATCCAAACACTCACAATGAAGGTAGAACAAGTAAACCAATCTGCTGTATCTGTGATTTGTATTGAGGGATATGGGGGGATTTCACTTAATATTTAACCAGTTTTCAGTTTTGTGAACCACCTTTTTTTCCTTTGTCCACTTGTCCCTCACCTTTATCACATGTACCTTTTTTTTATTTCATGAGTTTTAAACGTTCTTCTTCCTCATTTTCAGCAGTAAAATGGCATCTTCATTTAACAACCTTCGTGGCATGGAAGCTATCACATTTGATTATAACTCATCTACTCAAAGTGATCCTGCTGTATGAGATCAAGTTAATTTAATGTATTGACATTTGATATTTACATGTAGTAAAGCTTTTCTACTTTGTTTTATTTCAAATCCTGCTTTGTTTTCTATGGACGGCTATCATTTCTTAAAGTCGATTCAAAAGTAATAGCACTAAATCTGGTTTGCATATATCTGACATACAAGCAAAGTATGTCCTTATTTCTTTGCTGATAGATATAAATTTGATTTTTTTTCGTTTTGCTCAATCTTAATTAACTAAACATGCTAAAAGAAAGATTGCAGCATACATTTACAAGTAATTTGACATCAAACAACAAAATCGTTTCTAAATTTTTGAAAGTTCGTTAGAAATTTTCACAGCTGTGCCAAATAATCAATAAAAACAAACGCTGTCTTGGTAAGTATTATTCATGTTATTGCTAAACTTAAATGAAATGTTTATCCAGAGATGATGTTACAAATTAATTAGGTTTATCTCATATGGATAAGCCGGGTTATTTCGAGCACAATATTTTTATATATTATTTTTATTATGGGTCAAGAAGGATAACTCTAATTTTGGTGCAACCAACTTAGCGTCATTGCGCATGCTCATCTTCAGCTTCCTTTTCCGTCATTCTCCGAAGGTGTAGGCCGGGAAAATTTTGGTGAAGAATCATATCTCGATCATCATCAAATTAAGGAAAGTATTTTCACAACAAGTGAAGTAAGTAAATAAAAGTATTGTTTATACGAATTATTTCTTACTAATTTTCCGGTGTATCAGTGATTGTTGAGCAGATAAAGTACATTTAGATCTTGTAAAAATTTGCATTTGCTGTCGACCATCTTGAATAAATTTTGGTTTTAAATATAGGCTTAAACAAAATGCATAAATAAATAACTCTAATTTGCCAATAATCATATTTAATGATAATAATAATAAATAATTATGAATAATACAATAATTAAATAAAAAATGTAATAATATATTTTTATTTTATGAGCGGCAGAGTCATGTTACGAGTTAACAAGTCGAGGGCCTCAAAGGGGAGGAGCCCTTACGCAAGGACCAGATCTGGTGTAGCCATCGCGACCTCCGCAACTCAATCGCAAGCAGGGCCGTCACTCCCCTCAAATTTGGACCGAATATCGGACCCATTCCCAATGGCACAAAGTGCTAGATTTTCCCAATTTCATCAATAAAATTTCCCAAACACGTCTTTTCTTGTATATACGACCTAATATCCCACACATACACCCTTTATTTGATCCATTTAGCAGTAATGCACGCTTAATTTTAATCTGCAACAACCCTGTCATGATCGTTTATTTCTAGTTCGAATTTCCTCTGTCATGGAATAAAGATCTATAGATAAGCCATACGTAGATTGAGATGGGGAACTCATTTTCATTATTAAACAAGGATAACCATTATGAGTTAGTTCATAAAATAAATATATATATTTTAAAGTGAATTATGAATTAAAATAAAATCTTGGACACTATCTATTTCATTTGCATGAGTCATATGACCAGAAAAAAAAGAAATAAATTTTAGGCAATTTTTTGCTAACCTTTTAAATATAGTAACTTGATCATTTCAATAAAATTATTCATTATATTCTAAATATTTTATTTATTTAAGGTGCAAATAAACAGTAAGAAATATCCCCCTCCCCACATTTTTTTCAGTCTCTGTATCATATGAAAATAACAGAAAAAAGTACCTGTCTAGCAAGTAAATGTTTGGTCTGTTAAATGCAGATTTTATCAGACCTTATGTCCTGTATATTTTAGCGTTTCAAGTATATTTTTTAAAGTGATAAATGGCTTTCATGATTAAATATTTTGCTGGGGAGGTTAATACATACATGTTAATAATTTTCCCAATTTAACAAAAATGTCGAGGATTTTTCCCAATATAGAGGGACCCGGTCCCTGTACCAAAAGGTGCTGTGACAGCCCTGGCAAGACGTCAGAACGCCCATGCAGCCAGAGGCTCCAGTGGTAGTCCCCATCCCCATACGTACACTAAGTGCGACTTCCTTATCATCGGTCGCCGGAATTGCCTCTACTGCAGGACCGAGTTCATTTACAGCCCAGCAGACAAATCCTGAAGCCATTCCAGTATCTGTCGCTTCAGTTATTGAGACAGTTGCATCCCAACAGTCAACAACTCCATCAGCTGCAACAGGTACAAGCAATTATGATATAGAAAAGCCTATGTCTTTTCATAGTGTTGTATCCCCATTAGGGGCTCATGTCCTCCAAGCTATGAAAGATAAGATATGGAATAATGAATATGTTCAATTAAGTAAATTGTTGATCAAAGAACCAATATCAGAGGTTCAACATCAGGTTATATTTCAGGAGGGTTCATTTCAAATCAAACCAAAACATAAAGAAGAAAAAATTCAAAGTATTTCGCAGTGGACGGATGCATTTTTAATATATGCATCGGTCTATTGCATCAAACATCAAACAGATGCTATGGGTTTATTTCGTTACATTGCCACCATCAGAAAAGCAGCTGAGAGGTCACCTAACAGTTTAGGTTGGAGGGAATATGATGTTCAGTTTAGACTCAAAAAGTCCATTGAGTCTTCTTTGAATTGGGGTTCAGTAGATGCAGAATTGTGGCTCTTTTATATGCAGCCAGTTAATCAATCAAAGTCAGGTCTCAACCAACAAAAACAATTTAAGTGCTATTCATACAACTTTCAGGGCCTTTGTGAGAAACCTAATTGCAAGTATTTACATGTTTGTTTACAATGTAATGGGGCTCACCCTTCTATAAATTGCAGGTTTGGCCACAACATCGTCAGAAGCCAACCTAATCTCCCTGCCCAACAAGTACAATACAGGCCTAGATTCCCACAGCAGCGCCCACGTCAGAAATTCATGTACTAGTAATTTATCAAATAGATTATGGGACCTGGGTAATACCCCTGTAAAAGTCAACACTCTGCTATCACTTTTACATCATTAGTGTCATTATCCAGATAAAAATGTGGCACATTTGTTAGCTAATGGCTTTAGAAAAGGTTTTTCATTACAATATCAGGGATGTAGGAAAAATGTTGAATACAAGAATATGAAATCTGCTTCAGAACAGAGTGCAGAATTGGGAAAGAAAATAGAGAAAGACATTCAATTAGGGCGTATATTAGGTCCTTTTCCTTCATTACCTATTACAAATTTACGCTGTAGTCCTGTCGGTTTATTACCAAAGAAACAGGGAGGGTGGCGCATGATAACAAATCTTTCGTATCCACTTGGCCAAAGTGTCAATGATTTCATAGATCAACAAGATTGCTCAGTTAAGTATGCCTCATTTGACAAGGCCTTAGATGTTATACAACAGAAAGGTCAGGGAGCCCTTATGGCTAAAATGGATATATCAAGTGCTTTTAGGCTTTTACCCATAGCTCCAGAAGATTTTTGTTTACTGGGTTTCAAGTTTCAAGATTCTTATTACATTGACAAGTGTCTGCCCATGGGCTGCTCAGTTTCTTGCTCCTTATTTGAAAAATTTTCATCCTTTCTACACTGGGAATTGGAACATAGGTGAAGTCTAGAAAGCATTGTGCATTATTTAGATGACTTTTTCTTTGTAGGAGTTGCAGGTGTAGAAGAATGTAGGCAATTAATGATTCAGTTTGAAAAACTGTGTCAGTATGTAGGTGTTCCATTGGCTAATGAGAAAACAGAAGGACCTTGTACTAGGTTGTCATTTTTAGGTTTGGGTATAGATTCAATAGCTAGAACAGTTTTTGTTCCACAGGATAAAGTTTCTGAATTGTTAGGGAAAATTGAGTTTGTATTAGGAAGTAAGAAAGTAACAAAAAAGGAAATGGAATCACTTTTAGGTTCACTGGCCTTTGTAACGAAAGCCCTTCCTGCTGGCAGGGCATTTTGTCGTAGGTTGTATGGGGCTCTTGTAGGTGTATGCAAGTCTTTTCATTTAATTAGAGTTTCAAAAGAAATGAGACTTGACCTTGAAATGTGGATAGAATTCCTTACAAAATTTAATGGTTTATCTCCCTTTCCGTCATTAATTTGGCTTGATAATGAGATACTAGAGTTTTACACAGATAGTTCTGGCTCTCATGGCTGCGGGGTGTTGTATGGTGATAAATGGAGTTTCATGGCCTGGCCTGAGAATTGGTCCTCAGAGATCAGAAAGGACATTACCTTGCTAGAACTTATACCAATATTACTGGGTATTTACATTTGGGGTGTAGAGTTGTCTTCTCAAAAACTTTTGCTTCATGTGGATAACATGTCCCTTGTTCACATAGTAAATAATAAGACATCAAAAAACCCAAAAGTTATGATTTTGTTGAGGGCATTAGTATTATTCACACTGCAGCATAATATTCAGTTAAAGTGTCAACATATACCTGGTGCACAAAATAGTAAGGCAGATGCTATTTCTCGTTTGCAGTGGTCGCGGTTTCGTCAACTAGCACCTGGGGCTCAACAGTATCCTTGTCAAGTTCCTACACAATTTTGGGAGATTATCAGTCAACTGTAAATTCCCTTCTTGATGCAAGCCTTTCAGTAAATACAAGCAAAGTGTATAAGCAGGGCTTGCAAGCATTCTACAGGTTCCGGTCAGAGACATCATTTGAGCAAGTATGGCCACCCCCTATCGATCATATAATTAATTTCATCGCATACATGTCTGAAAACGGGTGTTCATTTTCTACTGTCAAGTCTTACTTGGCAGGTATAAGTTTTTCTATTAATGTACACGGTTGGTTTAATCCCATAGATTCCTTTTTAGTTAGGAAGTTGTTGGCAGGTTACAAAAAATCGAAAGTAGTTGCAGACACCAGAAGACCTATAACACTTCAGCTGTTGCAAAGTATCCTACTCATATTGCCGAATGTAACATATTCATCCTATGAAGCCGAATTATTCAAATCAGCCTTCGTATTAGCATTTTTTGCTTTGTTAAGAGTAAGCGAGGTAGTGGCTTTGGAAGAGAACTGTATTCAAATGTTGGAATCAGAAATTTTCGTACACATCAAAAGCTCTAAAACTGATCAATTAGGCTTGGGGATGTCTGTTAGAATTAATAAGGATCAGGATTCTGCAATTTTATTCTCCACTTTACAAGGTTTTCAAAAAATGCGACAAAAAACACAGGGTAGCCAATTCTTGGTCCATTTTAACTCCAAACCAATAACTCAATATCAATTTTCAGCCATGCTGAACAAATGTTTAAATTTTCTCAATATTCAAACAGCATCCTTCAAATCACATTCTTTCAGAATTGGTGGAGCCACACAGCTATATATTAGGGGTCTTTCCGAAACACAAATTAAAGAAAGGGGGAGATGGAATTCGTCAGCTTATAAATCTTACATAAGACCTATTGTGTGAATTTATCCAATACAGATCTTTCTCAATTAGTAATATTTTCAGAATGTATTTGGATTGTTGGATCCTCTATTATACACTGGGCACAGAAATATGCAGCTGATAACATGAACCAGAACTTGAGTCTGTTCTCACATGAACTTGTTTGGAAAGGAGTTAGAGGAATGGTTTGGGACCAGATATATCCTACAATTAAATCTTTACTTCGAAAATATAAATCGCCAGCATTTCTTATCTTACATTGCGGAGGTAATGACATAGGCAATCCTTACAGTACACTATTGGGTACACAAAAGTACATGAAATACATTGTTGTTAAGCTACATGAATTGTTACCAAGATCCGTAATTGTATGGTCCCACATATTACCAAGGAGAAATTGGATACACTCTTTATCCAATTCTGAGGGCGAAAAATGCAGAAGAAGGATTAATAGTTCTTTGGCAACATTTGTTTTAAAAATGGGGGGGTGCTTCAATCAAATATCCCGACATAGTAGATAGTCATAAAAGTTTATTCAGAAGTGATGGGGTGCACTTATCTGACCTTGGTAATAGTATATTTGTAAATTCATTAAAAAATGCGATAAGGCAGTTCACAGAAACTTCAGATATGTTGTATCCTTCTGTCCTTTAGTTGCTTGTCGTGTGCCGCAGTGATGATTTGTACATATGAATTTGACTGATATGGAATATTGATCTGATTTGATATATGAATTTGATGTTGTTGAAAGAATATTGATTTGATTTGATATAACAAAGGGCAAAATTGGCCACCTTCATTTGGTATTGATGGCGGATGTTCCATGAGATGCGATATCATCGCATCTCATGGAACATTTGGCAGAATTTTGCATAGAATACCATCTCCGGGGGGCACTGTTTTTTCCAGGTCCCTCGGGCCAAGATGGTAGTTCTACTGCTTGTGTATATGTTTGTGTGTATGCTGCCATATCTTTGTATGATCGGCGAATAATTTGTTATTGATATTATTTGAATTATTTGCAATAAACGGCCATGACAAGCTCGCCAAACAATAAGTATAGTTTCTCAATTATCCAAAAGAATTACATGTATTAACGTCCATGCTTTATGCACTATCTACGCATTGATTTACATGTAGGTTATAGGTACATTCCTATTTAGGTTAATATACAGTCTCGAAATAACCGTTGAACGGGTTTACATCATGTAGCTGAATGCAATTGACAAAGGTCTTTTGCCCTGCTTCCATAAATGTACTTAAGTTGAAACAAATTTCTCAGGAATAATTTGTGACCACGTCTATTGCGTAAATTAATGCTACGCTCAAAAGTAATTAATATACAGTTTTAATAATACATGGCTTAGTTTAAATCCACATGAAGCCCTGTATAAAACAGGTCAAGTAGATGAAACATAAGGAGATAACGAACAATATTCAAGCTCAAAAGCCCATATAACAATACAAAATTGTTAGAGTAAATACTGACCACCAAAATATTTGAGGTGGGATCAGGTGCCATCGAGGAGTGAGCATCCCTTGCCGACCGTTCACACGTACCTGCTATGTGCTCTTTGTCATGATAGGAAAATAACGGAAAAAACCGTCGTCAGTTTATCAAGGTTAAATGAAACGTGAAGATAATGAACAGTATTTAGATTAAAAGTCCATAAAACAATACAAAATAGTACCTGCTATGTGCTCTTTGTCCTGATTGGAAAATAACGGGAAAAAACCGTCGTCAATTTATCAGAGGTTAAATGAAACGTGAATATAATGAACAGTATTTAGATCAAAAGTCCATAAAACAATACAAAATAGGAGCAGTGCAGACACGGACCTCCAACTTGAAAACATAGGAGGCATGAAAATTGAAGATTAACAAAAAAAATATGACTCAAAAACTATTAAACATTTATTTGGTGATTACACCAAAAGATCTTAATCACCACACATGGAATAAAACAACGAATATAGTGAAAGATTCTGTAAGAAAACCTTGTTACACGTTGTGTGTGTATATATATATATATATATATATATATATATATATATATATATATATATATATATATATATATATATATATATATATATATATATATATATAAATAACCTGTTGAGAAACCTATTCATTCCAAACATCGATCAGTTATATAAGCCATGTACAAAAAACAAAAGCACCAAATCATAATATAAAATACATCTAACACAGCAGCAAACAAAAAATGTAAATTTGCATTTAAATATTTGTATTTTTTGCCCATTTACAATGTACGTGTACGTTTTGAAATACTGTAGTTAAGCAAGTAGACTTAGACCATGGAAGTAATTTTCACTCTCTTCTCACTTTCTAATTGGATAATGTTATGTACTAATTAATTATATATGAAATTAGTTATTACAAACAGAAATTAAGCCCGGCCCTATGAAGCCCCGGGAATCCTTCCTTGCACCCATGCTTACAAACAGGAACGCTTTGATCACAACTGCCATCACCCCCACAGTTGGGGGAGCAGGTGCCTCTACATGTAGTCCCCGTGTACCCAGGCCTGCACCCATCCAAACAATGCCCATAATCCCGTGAACAGCCCCCGTCACCCCCGCAGTTAACTGGACAGGTTATGTTACACCCTGGACCAGTGTACCCTAACTGACAAGTGTGTTCACAAATAAATCCTGTCATCCCGGGCAGTTTGCAGCCTTGTAGACACCACTTTGTGGCAATGTGACAACTTCCGTCCCCTCCACATTTTGGAGGACAGGGGTCTTTACATGTAAATCCTGTGTACCCTGCCCTGCATCCATGCCGACAAAAACCAATCCTGCTACAGCTCCCATCGCCTCCACAGTTCGGTGAGCAGGTGTCCTCACATTTCATGCCTATATATCCTGTCTTGCACCCATACCGACACGTATCATCTGTTCGTCTACAGCTCCCATCGCCTCCACAGTTTGGTGGACAGGTGCCATTACATTTAAGGCCAGTGTGTCCTATCTTGCATCTACTCCAACAATAGCCACTGTATTTTTTACAGGACCCATCTCCACCACAGTTAGAAGGACATGGAAGATCACAGTTAACACCGTGATATCCTGGCAAACATTCCGTGGTATTAGATATAATAGCAGCATCAGTGGGAATCGCCGAGGACTACACACCTATTGTATATAGAAACAATGAAATTTAAATGTTTACATTAATTTTCTAATTATATCATTAGGAAAAGTGGTTTTATTGTAACTCAACAATTGATATCATTGAGAAAAAACTTTATATATAATATAGTACATGCCTTTATAAACCATTTCAGCAGAGACAAACATAAATACCAGCATCGCCATCGTGAGACGTAATTATTCTAAATGAAAAAAAAAATAATAAAAGTAATCTTGATATAATACTTTTGGTTATATATTCTCATATTTGACCGAAAAAGGTAACACATGTACATGGCAGATCTCAAGAATATTATTTCATAGTCTGGTAAGCTTTAGCGGAGATGTTTATAAAATTTAATTTACAACTGTTAAAAAACTTAATATTAAAAAAAAATTGTACTGAATAGATAGGTATTGAACGTGTAAAATTTCTGAAATGTGCAAATCATTTAACTACTGAATTTTTAAAATCGAAAATCGGGATTAGACATGCAAAAATATAAAAGAGAACAAAAGCTTGGGATCTTGATAACAATTGCAAGTTTTGCACACTTGAAATAAAAAGAAATTGTCCAACCCGTGAAATAGATTCCTGAATCTAATTTCAAGACAGGGAAAATCCTTATGTATTTCATTTTTATAATACATGTACAATAAAGGGTGTTAGACAAGTGTAATAATTAAGGAATTAAACAAGCATTCAAAAACGAAGAGTACACAGTTAACGTAATGTAATATTTGAGGATCATACATCAAAATAAACGGTATTTGACTATTTGTATAATTCATTTTCTTTAGTTATATTATATTGTAGTTTTTATTACTTTTATAATCAGTTAATAAGACATGTAAGTGATCAATTATATCATATCTTCATTAGATAATTTAAGGCTTCGACATCGCTATAATATAAAAAAAATTATATTGTGCTAAATTTCTACACCAACATTCTATTTTCTGTTGAATTGATTTTTATGCCCAGAAGGACATTGCACTGCATCTTAGTTTAAGGCTAAAATAATAAAATACGAGGTTTAATCATTATATATGAGGTTCAATAATTAACGATAACCTTTTATCTTACCGCTTTACGAAGTTTTGTTCAGTTCTATTGTAAAGCCCTGTATATAAATACCATATGGAATGTTTTTCAAATCAATTACGCGGTTATAGTCACGTATGTTCCAACAGGATACTTTTCCTACTGTGCGAGAATTGAAGCAGGTGTGCTACAACGAATATCAAAATAAAATGAAGTGCGTACTTCAATGTACTTTGTCTTAGTACAAGTGTAGGTAAAGATTCATTGTGATAAAGTTTGGTCCGATCCAGATTACAGTCAATAAAATAAAAAAAGGAATAAAATAACTTTTCGTTGAAAAATCATGGAAATTTTGTGAGTGAAATTGAATAAAAGTAACGAAATTTTTTTCTTTATTATTTTATTAAAAATCATCATGCATCACAAATTGTTCTTTCACAGATGTATCCCATCCTAGGGGTCGGACGAGAAGCAATATAACCCCATTGCAAATCACTTTTGAAAATGACAGCAAAGTTTCTGACCACGGTTTGAGGGATAATCCTGCTTGTTGATCTTTCGATGGGAAAACTGTTATAAATCATTTCAGAGCCATCTGCCCAGGACCAGGCGCCATTTTCTGATTGTCCGCCGATAAACCAACCGTCACCACCCATATCTGTTTAAAATAATTACCAAATTTTAAACAAAAGAAATTTGAGAAATAAAATAAGTGATTTAATTCGTCAAATGTACATAGCCGTAAGCATATTTCTGTTCATTTTTTATTTTAACGATCGGCAAACTAAGCTCTTTTTTCTAATTAAAATTCCAATCTTTTTTATAGGTTGGAATTCCTGCATACAATGTACATCAAAATATCTTTTTTGATCTTATTCAAAATGCATGTATAATCTTCATTTAAGACTCGGGAAAGATTTTTATGGGTTTTAGGCATCTTTATAAATTCCACATCAACAAACTTAATGTTTATTGTTTTAAATACCATCCGTAAATAATTAATCAGTGAAGTTTCTCATTTTCAACTTCTTGTTTGAAAAATTAAACTTACTGCACTCTCCGGCAAGAAAGGTTTTCAGAGCTTGGTCTTCGTTTCTGTTCTCAATTTTGACCAGGTCCCAACCTCTGGTTCTGCGACACTCATCTCGAGCCTGGGTCCAGCTGGTGACAAAACTGGTATAATCCACGATACGGTATCGGCTACTGCCTCTTGTAGTGTCTGCAAAAATGTTTTAAATACATTATAAGTATAGTAATTTAAATTATACATGTACATAACAAATATAAACACCGAAAAACATAAAAAAAAATCTTAAACATTATTTTGTTCTCCGTTTAAAACGTTGATTTCATTTTTCAAAATGATAATTAAAAAGAAAAAAAACACATGCATTCTCCTTTCATTTTGAAAATTCAAGAAGGTATTTATTCTTTTATTCGTTTTCTTTTATGTTTAACAATTAAATGATTAAAATTGTCGACTCTCAAATTAATGATTTTTGTTTAACGTGTCATTTGCAAGGTACAAATGCTAAAATCTATTGAAATCAGCATTATTTAATTGATCTGGTAAACACTTAACATGAAACATTGTAGAAAGAATGCATGTACATGTATAATTTAAATTACTATACTTTAGTATACTTATTGTACATTGTATTTGTAGAAGTCAGGGAGTTATCCAAAAGCAACAGAGTGTTTGCTAGTAAGACTACCCAACACTATTAAGAGTAGCTTACCTATCATAAATACAGCAAAGAAAACGACAAGGAGAACCCTGGACTTCATCTGATAGTAAAAAGTGACATGTATATATCAAAATGATTAAATTATTAGGAAAAATACAGCTTATCATACGTTTGAATTTTTAAGGTGATAATCTCTAAAAAAAAAAATACCTAAGGGACACAATGGTATTTGAAAATTACGTGCAGTAATCAAGCTAACAGTCTAATTAAACTAAGATTAAGTGCAATAAAGAAGTAAGTATTCTCTGAAGACAAAACACATCTGTAGTACGTACAAGTGTTCATTAGTACAGATTGTATGCGTTTATGCATAGTCGAGTAAACGGGGAAAATCCACAGACAATAGAGTTTGAAAATAATTGTATACTGATATATTGAAATCTCAATCAACATTATAGTAAAGATAGATTGTTTTTCCTCACATGGACATTGTATCATCAATAGAATTTGCAAACTATTGATCTTAAGCGAAACTTTTTATCCGTGCATCGTCAACTTATTTGTCCACATGTCGCTTAATAATATTTTTTCAACCTTTTACATCAAAACATTGTAGAGAAATACTAGAATACTAGTACTTTGATTCACATTATATTAAAATGTTGCTGTATTTACAGCGTAACAATTTAGAAGCATTTTTTGTTTTAGATTATGAAAATTAGAAAATACAATTGTTACCTTTCAAATAAAGTCCAAAAGTATACAAATAGGACAAAACGGTCTCATCCTACTCTAATATTAGACAAGTTGTTTAAGACATGTTTAAATTAAAACATCAATTATACCCTTTGCTATTTGTGCTTGACAAGGTTTTACCTCTATGAGATTCTTGCAATCAAGAAATTAATGGAAATTTGCTACTTATAATTATAACAACAAATTAGTTATTTATGAGTTCATATAACAATTCAATTAAAATACTCTCAAGATATTTCGTTGACATACCTCAGTATCTTCTAAATCCTAGACAACATTGTAATATTTCAAAATTTCTTTTATATATATCTGAGAGAGACAGCTACTCCTTTGCGCACGTGATCTGAAATCCAATAACTGGCACAATTAATTAATTAGATCATAATAAACACCATGATTTATCTCTCGAAAAACACAAAATAAGAATGCACACTTCGCACTTTTACGATTTTTGGAAATTTGATTCGGAAATCCAATGTCACCTAAGGGATATATTTTTTCTTTGTTTTTCACGTTTCATTATTAAACATCTGCATTTTATATTTCAAAATATCAAGTTACACATGTTCTTTGTCTTTCATAAATTTGTTCGAGAACCAAAGAAGACAGATTCTTATTAATTATGTTAATTAAATAAGATTCAGTTTTCTCTGTACAATTAACATGGATAGCAGTTAAGATAAGTCTTGATTTGTTTTGAGAGGTGTAATTAATTTGCTTAGGCTACTCGAGGCATTTTTCTCTGTGATTTTGTAAAATTTTGCGAGCATCTTTAAATTTATTTTTGACTCAAGTTATCATTCATTCTTTAAAAAGTTTTTTTATATAGACGGAGAATTTTTAAGGCAAGATATGACTAAATAATTCATGATGAAAAATAAAAAGATTTCCATTTAATTCGCGATACTTCTTACAAAAATATTTTCATATTTAAGTTATTTTTTTTTCAAATCTTGAACGCAAAAATATGACAATTTTAATTTCTAAACTAAGATTTATACATCAAGGGTAAGATAATTATGCAATTTTCAATCTGATTGAAATTAGATCCTTTGATCCGCTCACGTAAATCGCTACACAAGCGATTTATGTGAACGGATCAAAGGATCTAATTTCAATCAGATTGATGCAATTTGAAAAAAAAAAAAAAAAACTTTAAAACTTGTTTATATTCTGTGATTTTTATTTTGATATATTGATAATCAAACTTCTTGGGCTTTTAATTTGCCTGTAATAACAAGTGGATTTAATTCAAACTTTCTCATCCAATGTCATATACCGGTATATGATTTAGTAAGGCGTTATTCTCTTAAAAGTTACTTAATTTTACATAAGAAAATAAATACTTTAGTTTGATATATTTAAAAAAACTATAACCACTGTCCCTATCAATGAATTAAGAATATACGGTATTTGCTAATCGTCTTTCACATATTGTTATTGCATTAAAACGTCCTGAACAAATAAAAATAGCTTTAATCACAACTTTGTAATTGGACAGGTGATGTTTTCTTCCTATTCTTTATATGCTTATTTTGTGTTACGGAATTGTTCTGCTTATATAATTAATTGCTGTTGTTGTAAGCTTTATATGTTTATTCTAATATCTACGTGTTTTTTTTCATGAAAATGTAAATTATTTTCAATGATTTTTTTTTTTATAGGATATTATAAGTTTATCTTTCATTTCTCTATAAGATAACTGGAAGTTAAGTACGCAAAATTACACCTTTAAATGAAGGAATATATACATCTTGTTTCAGTAGCTGATAGAAAGAAAAAAATCCTCTCACTCTCTGAAGGTTGCAAGCACTGAGTCTGAAAACTGCAGTTGTCCACCGGCAAGTGGTTTACTGTACTCAATATTAGTATATAATTCTCGAAACAAACTTCAACAAACAAACGAAAACCTATTTAAAAACGTATGTATATAGGGTCATTTGCATATCTATTTACTGTACATTTCATTCGTTTTATGGCTTCAAATACCAAGCAGATACTGTAAACAAACTATTATTCGAGTCGTCTTTTATTCGCGAACCATCAATTGTATTGAAATCAATCCGCGACGATTAATTTTCACGATTACGGAAACATTTTCTACAAATTTTATTTTAAATAAATGATTTGCAGCGATTAATATTCGCGGTTTAACACAGGTCGAGAAACTCGCGGATATTTCTCGCGCGAATGAAAGTTGGTTTATAGTATTCAGAGAACACATCAAGAGAGACAGATTAAGTTTTTATTACATGTTTACAGCATTCGTGTCATCCTTTAAAAATATTCTTAGAATTGCTAAAACTGAACGATATCTTCTTAAATATTTTATCGGCTCTTAGAAAATACAAAGAAAATCTTATTCTTGAAATGTAGTTTAAAAACTGTTTGAATAAACTATTCTAAAAAAGTTTTTTTCAAAAGCAGAAGTACGTAGAGGAACCAGGTTTGCATCCATCATCACAAAATGAAGTATACCTGTTTAAAACAAGAAATATCGATCAATCATAAAATGCTGGAGTAGACAAAAATAGATCTGAAAATTATGTGTTCCATGATACGGATGAGATGGCGATTGAAAAAAGATTCAAAATTATCATAAGGATTAGAAACCTAATCCTAGATGCTACATGCCTGTTACACTTTCCTGATCCGGCACAGTAACGAGAGCAGGCCTTGTCACATTCAAAACCCCAGTACTTTGGCAAGCAACCGCTAGAGCAGAATCCAGTGTATTTGCCACAAGCGCCGTTTCCTCCACAGAATTCACTACATTTCTTGTCACAGCTCCATCCATAGAACCCCACCGGGCATGCTAGTATCACAAATACATGTTATGGTATTGTGCTTAGAATTTTTATATATCAACACTAAAATTGTCCAATGTGTGCATAAATTATCTTTGGGTACAGGAAAATTGTAAATATAATTCGAAAATTCATTCTACGTAAGGCGTATGGTTTATCGGTAAGCGTACCTGCAAGTGGATTTAAAAATAAATATCAAAATTTCATTGATAACCTAACTTCGGAAACAAAAATGGCGGTAAGGAGCAGGAAAGATACTGGTAGCAGTATCATTCTTCACTTGTTGCTTTGATTTCTTGTAATCTAAAAGCCTAAGAAATATAATTATTAAAGTGACTTTACGTTCAAAATATCTTGAAATATTCAAATTTGTTCAAGTTCTGCTAAAAATAACCCAATTAGTGATGCATACACTCCTAAATCACTTGTATCCACCTTCGAAATTTTGGGAGGGGGGGGGGGCTTTAAAATTTGTGTCAATAATTATTGCAGATTTTTTTTAAAGTTGATTGTTCAATGTTTTCTATCTTTACTTTTTTATATTTTAAGAAAATATGCCCATTCATTTAGAATAAAAATTATCTATTCTAACAATCATTTTTGTGGAACGACCTTCCTAATGACGTAAAACAGGCCCAGTCCATGGACATATTTTGTGGAAGTATTTTGTTAACACATATGATTGGCCCCATGAGAAAAGGTCCGCGATAAAGGCTAGACGTGTCAAAACGTATAACACGTGTAAAAAAAAAAAATCTGCGACGACGCTCACCGTCTGCAACGTCACGTCTTTATGACGTTATTTCTCTGTTCTAGAAAAATTGCCATAAGGACCTTTTGTCGTGGTGGCAATCATATAGAACAAAAGAAGTCTAGAATTCTAAGATCTTTCAAATGATATCACGAAAAAAGGGTTGGCCTCTAAAATAAGGGATCTAGAGGGACCAGAATTTTTTTCCTGATATCTTTTAAAGTATTGAGAATTTGTAAAACATTAAAGAAGCAAATTTGTTCAAAACGTCAAGCTAAATCTATTGGGGTCAACGGAATACGCCCGAGGACATCACTTTCGACCAAACCGGAAGTAGTCAAAAATGAATATTTTTCCAATTCTTGACAGGTTTTAGGGTAACATATGTCACTGAAAACATAAAACTTTATTTTCCTTCCGTCGACGTTACTTTTGGTCAAATCGGAAGTAGCAAAAATGGCTTACTTTTGCACTAATTAACATATATTTAGAGGATTAAAACATTTTTGGACGCTATTACTTTTTTATTCTTAAATGAAAATTACTTCCGGTCAAACAGGACGGAAGACCTACTCGTTGTTTTGCAACGAACTTTGCTGTAGTTATTATAATTATTGCGTCGCCCGCGTAGCGTCTGCTCTATAGTCGCAAAGTAAGGAGTTGATCCTTACGTCGCGGGTTCAAATCCAATTGTGGGAAGAAGAGACCGGCCCTTTGGCTGGGACCTTATAAACCGAGGTCCCGTGTCGCAGTAGGTGCTGGTACAAAAAAGATCCCTCGCTGCTCAATGGCGCTGAGTGCCGAGTATAGGACAGAATTCTACACCGGCACGTGGATGCGTCTCCATAGGAGTGAACAATTCTCGAGAGGGACATTAAACAATATACAACCAACCGACTATCATTGCCTTTACGAGACGTGGGTTTTCCATTACTCTTAGACGTATTTTCTTCGCTTTTCTTTTTTGTAGGAAAGGGGGTATTGATAAAACACAATTTTGTTTAGATATATGATCATGGACCATATGCTTGAATGATGTAAAATGATATGCATGTTCAAAATCTAAGTACTCATTTTATTTCTTACACGGATGTATGTCAACGTTTGAATGTTAATGTTTGATAGATAGAGATGAATATAAGAACGGGTTCATTTAAAATGCTTATTTGTTTAGCAGAGTTAGTGAAGTATAAAATTATAGCATCATCGCGTTTGAACAATAAGAAATCATTCTTTTTCAAATTTAATTTTTCCATAAAATATAAGTAAATTTTAAAGCCCATGATCAATAGGAAACTGCACTGAACATTTGAAATTTCAAACTTTATACTTAAAAAAAGAGAACACTTTTTACATATATTTAATATTGCTCATTAAACCCATTTCTTAGTGACAAAAAGATTATTTGATCCTCATTATAACCTTACAAGTCCTGAAGGAGAAGAGTATTACACTTACTAATCACGAATCTAGACCACTAAATTTCGGATACATTTTTAATTCTCTTCAGAATTATAAATTGGGAAAAAATAAATTTTCAATGAAAATCATTACTAAGTTACTTCTTGAAACTTAAAGCAAACTTATCTGAAACATTCAGCCGTTAAAAGTAAATGCTTCAGTGTAGATAAAACTTACCTTCCGTCTTGCTTGTCTACTCTTTGGACAAATGATGTTAAACGTTGCTTTAAGTACTACTGAACATTATTAGTACCAACTAGTTCCGGGATGAATAGATGATTTTGATATGGAATCCTTGAAATGAATTTCTTTCGTA